ATCTCCCCCTGTTCTACAGAGTGAGTGAGTGGAGTTTGTGTGATCTCCCCCTGTTCTACAGAGTGAGTGAGTGAGGTTTGTGTGATTTCCTGTTCTACAGAGTGTGTGAGTGAAGTTTGTGTGATCTCTCCCTGTTCTACAGAGTGTGTGAGTGGAGTTTATGTGATCTCCTCCTGTTCTACAGAGTGAGTGAGTGGAGTTTGTGTGATCTCCCCCTGTTCTACAGAGTGAGTGAGTGGAGTTTGTGTGATCTCCTCCTGTTCTACAGAGTGAGAGAGTGGAGTTTGTGTGATCTCCCCCTGTTCTACCGAGTGAGTGAGTGGAGTTTGTGTGATCTCCCCCTGTTCTACAGAGTGAGTGGAGTTTGTGTGATCTCCCCCTGTTCTACAGAGTGTGTGAGTGGAGTTTGTGTGATCTCCCCCTGTTCTACACAGTGAGTGAGTGGAGTTTGTGTGATCTACCCCTTTTCTACAGAGTGAGTGAGTGGAGTTTGTGTGTTCTACTCCTGTTCTACAGAGTGAGTGAGTGGAGTTTGTGTGTTCTACTCCTGTTCTACAGAGTGAGTGAGTGGAGTTTGTGTGATCTCCCCCTGTTCTACAGAGTGAGTAAGTGGAGTTTGTGTGATCTCCCCCTGTTCTACAGAGTGAGTGAGTGGAGTTTGTGTGATCTCCCCCTGTTCTAGAGTGAGTGAGGTTTGTGTGATCTCCCCCTGTTCTACAGAGTGAGTGAGTGGAGTTTGTGTGATCTCCCCCTGTTCTACAGAGTGAGTGAGTGGAGTTTGTGTATTCTACTCCTGTTCTACAGAGTGAGAGAGTGGAGTTTGTGTGATCTCCCCCTGTTCTACAGAGTGAGTGAGTGGAGTTTGTGTGATCTCCCCCTGTTCTACAAAGTGAGAGAGTGGAGTTTGTGTGTTCTACTCCTGTCCTACAGAGTGAGTGAGTGGAGTTTGTGTAATTTCCCCCTGTTCTACAGAGTGAGTGGAGTTTGTGTGATCTCCCCCTGTTCTACAGAGTGAGTGGAGTTTGTGTGATCTCCCCCTGTTCTACAGAGTGAGTGAGTGGAGTTTGTGTGATCTTCTCCTGTTCTACAGAGTGAGTGAGTGGAGTTTGTGTGATCTCCCCCTGTTCTACAGAGTAAGTGAGTGGAGTTTGTGTGATCTCCCCCTGTTCTACAGAGTGAGTGAGTGGAGTTTGTGTGATCTCCCCCTGTTCTACAGAGTGAGTGAGTGGAGTTTGTGTGATCTCCCCCTGTTATATAGTCAGTGGAGTTTGTGTGATCTCCCCCTGTTCTACAGAGTGAGAGAGTGGAGTTTGTGTGATCTCCCCCTGTTCTACAGAGTGAGTGAGTGGAGTTTGTGTGATCTCCCCCTGTTCTACAGAGTGAGTGAGTGGAGTTTGTGTGATCTCCCCCTGTTCTACAGAGTGAGTGAGTGAGGTTTGTGTGATTTCCTGTTCTACAGAGTGTGTGAGTGAAGTTTGTGTGATCTCCCCCTGTTCTACAGAGTGTGTGAGTGGAGTTTATGTGATCTCCTCCTGTTCTACAGAGTGAGTGAGTGGAGTTTGTGTGATCTCCCCCTGTTCTACAGAGTGAGTGAGTGGAGTTTGTGTGATCTCCCCCTGTTCTACAGAGTGAGTGAGTGGAGTTTGTGTGATCTCCCCCTGTTCTACAGAGTGTGTGAGTGGAGTTTGTGTGATCTCCCCCTGTTCTACACAGTGAGTGAGTGGAGTTTGTGTGATCTACCCCTTTTCTACAGAGTGAGTGAGTGGAGTTTGTGTGTTCTACTCCTGTTCTACAGAGTGAGTGAGTGGAGTTTGTGTGTTCTACTCCTGTTCTACAGAGTGAGTGAGTGGAGTTTGTGTGATCTCCCCCTGTTCTACAGAGTGAGTAAGTGGAGTTTGTGTGATCTCCCCCTGTTCTACAGAGTGAGTGAGTGGAGTTTGTGTATTCTACTCCTGTTCTACAGAGTGAGAGAGTGGAGTTTGTGTGATCTCCCCCTGTTCTACAGAGTGAGTGAGTGGAGTTTGTGTGATCTCCCCCTGTTCTAGAGTGAGTGAGGTTTGTGTGATCTCCCCCTGTTCTACAGAGTGAGTGAGTGGAGTTTGTGTGATCTCCCCCTGTTCTACAGAGTGAGTGAGTGGAGTTTGTGTATTCTACTCCTGTTCTACAGAGTGAGAGAGTGGAGTTTGTGTGATCTCCCCCTGTTCTACAGAGTGAGTGGAGTTTGTGTGATCTCCCCCTGTTCTACAGAGTGAGTGAGTGGAGTTTGTGTGATCTTCTCCTGTTCTACAGAGTGAGTGAGTGGAGTTTGTGTGATCTCCCCCTGTTCTACAGAGTGAGTGAGTGGAGTTTGTGTATTCTACTCCTGTTCTACAGAGTGAGAGAGTGGAGTTTGTGTGATCTCCCCCTGTTCTACAGAGTGAGTGAGTGGAGTTTGTGTGATCTCCCCCTGTTCTACAGAGTGAGTGAGTGGAGTTTGTGTGATCTCCCCCTGTTCTACAGAGTGAGTGAGTGGAGTTTGTGTGATCTCCCCCTGTTATATAGTCAGTGGAGTTTGTGTGATCTCCCCCTGTTCTACAGAGTGAGAGAGTGGAGTTTGTGTGATCTCCCCCTGTTCTACAGAGTGAGTGGAGTTTGTGTGATCTCCCCCTGTTCTACAGAGTGAGTGGAGTTTGTGTGATCTCCCCCTGTTATACAGTGAGTGGAGTTTGTGTGATCTCCCCGTGTTCTACAGAGTGAGTGAGTAGAGTTTGTGTGATCTCCCCCTGTTCTACAGAGTGAGTGAGTGGAGTTTGTATGATCTCCCCCTGTTCTACAGAGTGAGTGAGTGGAGTTTGTGTATTCTACTCCTGTTCTACAGAGTGAGAGAGTGGAGTTTGTGTGATCTCCCCCTGTTCTACAGAGTGAGTGAGTGGAGTTTGTGTGATCTCCCCCTGTTCTACAGATGGAGTGAGTGGAGTTTGTGTGATCTCCCCCTGTTCTACAGAGTGAGTGAGTGGAGTTTGTGTGATCTCTACTCCTGTTCTACAGAGTGGGTGGAGTTTGTGTGATCTCCCCCTGTTCTGCAGAGTGAGACAGTGGAGTTTGTGTGATCTCTACTCCTGTTCTACAGAGTGGGTGGAGTTTGTGTGATCTCCCCCTGTTCTACAGAGTGAGAGAGTGAGAGTTTGTATGATCTCCCCCTGTTCTACAGAGTGGAGTTTGTGTGATCTCCCCCTGTTCTACAGAGTGAGTGGAGTTTGTGTGATCTCCCCCTGTTCTACAGAGTGAGTGAGTGGAGTTTGTGTGATCTCCCCCTGTTCAACAGAGTGAGTCAGTGGAGTTTGTATGATCTCCACCTGTTCTACAGAGTTGAGTTTGTGTGTTCTCCCCGTGTTCTACTGAGTGAGAGTGAGTGGTCTATCCACTGCTGGATGAAAGCCTCCCTCCAAACCCGCACCTAAGATTAGCACGGATGGCTGCGTACGGTACAAAAACGAAGTTCAACACACAAAAAAACAAAGACAGAGATCACCCGTGTAGCCTGAACAGACTGTCGGGGCAAGGGCTGTTAACAAGCAGCAGTGCCTATGAAGGCCGGCATGCCCGACCGCCTTTGTCTCCCCGGCAGCGATGTTTACCACACACTAGGTACTCATTTGAGGCCGAGTCGATCTAGGGGAGGTCCAGGACCGGTTCAAATAATCGTCACCGGTGTTGGCCGTGAGCGGGAATCAAACCAGGGTCGCCAGGTTCATAGCGCAGCATAGCGCTAACCGCTACACTACCGCTCCCACACACACACAGTGCGTGTGTGTGTGTGCGCGTGTGTGTGTGCACACACGCGCACACACAGGCTGGATTGTGTGAGAAGCTCACAAATCCTTGAAAGATCTGGGCACGGTCCCATCGGTGAGCTCCTCTGGCAGGCAAGGCTGCGTTGGCTGGGTCATGTAGCCCGCATGCCCAGCCACCGTATGCCGAAACAGCTTTTGTTCGGCCGGATCGAGGGGGCTAAACGGGCGCGGCACGGGCTAGAGAAGAGATGGAGTGATGTGGTACAGGAGGACGTGGAGCTGAGTGGACTTGCCGATGACCGGTACCAGCGGTGTCAAGATCCGCCTCTGTGGAGGAGGCTCGTGAAGGACGCTACTGGGCAGTTGGAGGTAGTCGCCCTCCAACAACAACGGAGGGCGGAGGAGCGACGCTCACAACAACGAGCGGAGCGCCGGGTGGCTAAAGCACAGCGAGTTGGCACAGTAGGGGGCACAAGTGGTGCATCAGCCAGTCATCTCAGTCAGTCGACCCCTGGCACCTACTGGGTCTGCCCCGTGACCTCCTGCCAGCGGGCGTTCGACACTTCACGTGGCCTCAAGGTGCACATAGCCTGGCACAAGCGTCGTGGTGACGTCACCGCCACTTAGTGGCGAATGGCGGTTGTTGTTGTTGTGTACACGTGTGTGTGTGTGCACGTGTGTGTGTGTACACGTGTGTGTGTGTACACGTGTGTGTGTGTGTGCACGTGTGTGCACGTGTGTGTACACGTGTGTGTGTGTGTGTACACTGTGTGTGTGCACACGTGTGTGTGTGTGTACGTGTGTGTACACGTGTGTGTGTGTACACGTGTGTGTGTGTACACGTGTGTGTGTGCACGTGTGTGTGTGCACGTGTGTGTGTGTGTGCACGTGTGTGTGTGCACGTGTGTGTGTGTACACGTGTGTGTGTGTACACATGTGTGTGTGTGCACGTGTGTGTGTACACATGTGTCTGTGTGTGTACACGTGTATCTGTGTGTGTACACGTGTGTGTGTGCACGTGTGTGTGTGTACACGTGTGTGTGTGTACACGTGTGTGTGTGTGTACATGTGTGTGTGTGTGTACACGTGTGTGTGTGTGTGCTCCCCCCACGTGTGTGTACACGTGTGTGTGTGTACACGTGTGTGTGTACACGTGTGTGTGTGTGTGTACACGTGTGTGTGTGTGTGCTCCCCCCACGTGCGTGTGCACGCGAGGCAGAGACTCACGCTCAGGCGGCTCCGTCGCCCGGCGGAAGAGGGTGGCGACGATCGGCTCCAGGTGGCCCCTGGCACTGCCACCTGGGCGCCCTTCGCACGTCAGATGCACCAGGTCTGGGGGCAACCGGGAAGGAGAGTAAACAAAACACAGACAAAGATGACCCGTGTAGCCTTGGCGTGGGGCGGGGGCAAGTGCTGCCTGCGGCGAGTCGTGGCGGCTACGGGAGGCCGGCGCCGTGGCGCTCGAGCGGCGGGGTTGGTGGGCCGGCGACACGCACGGCCGCCTTTGTCTCCCCGGCGGAGATGATTTTAGACGCACCGCACCGGGCGCTCGTTCGAGGCCGAGTCGACGTGTGAGTGAGTGGTGAGTGAGTGAGTGGTGAGTGAGTGGTGAGTGAGTGGTGAGTGGTGAGTGAGTGGTGAGTGAGTGGTGAGTGGTGAGTGAGTAAGTGGTGAGTGACACTCACCCTCCATGCACGTGTTAGTGAGTGAGTGGTGAGTGGTGAGTGAGTGAGTGGTGAGTGAGTAAGTGGTGAGTGACACTCACGGGTACCCTCCATGCACGTGTTAGTGAGTGGTGAGCGAGTGGTGAGTAAGTGGTGAGTGACACTCACGGGTACCCTCCATGCACGTGTTAGTGAGTGAGTGTGTGTGAGTGAGTGAGTGGGTGAGTGAGTGGTGAGTGAGTGAGTGAGTGGTGAGTAAGTGGTGAGCGAGTGGTGAGTAAGTGGTGAGCGACACTCACGGGTACCCTCCATGCACGTGTTAGTGAGTGAGTGGTGAGTGAGTGAGTGGGTGAGTGAGTGGTGAGTGAGTGAGTGAGTGGTGAGTGAGTGGTGAGTGAGTGGTGAGTAAGTGGTGAGTGACACTCACGGGTACCCTCCATGCACGTGTTAGTGAGTGAGTGGTGAGTGAGTGGTGAGTGAGTGGTGAGTAAGTGGTGAGTAAGTGGTGAGTGACACTCACGGGTACCCTCCATGCACGTGTTACTGAGTGGTGAGTAAGTGGTGAGTGAGTGGTGAGTGAGTGACACTCACGGGTACCCTCCATGCACGTGTTAGTGAGTGAGCGGGTGAGTGAGTGAGTGGGTGAGTGAGTGGTGAGTGAGTGGTGAGTGAGTGGTGAGCGAGTGGTGAGTGGTGAGCGACACTCACGGGTACCCTCCATGCACGTGTTAGTGAGTGAGTGGCGAGTGAGTGAGTGAGTGGGTGAGTGAGTGGTGAGTGAGTGGTGAGTGAGTGGTGAGTGAGTGGTGAGTGAGTGATGAGTGACACTCACGGGTACCCTCCATGCACGTGTTAGTGAGTGAGTGGTGAGTGAGTGGTGAGTGAGTGAATGGTGAGCGAGTGGTGAGTAAGTGGTGAGCGACACTCACGGGTACCCTCCATGCACGTGTTAGTGAGTGAGTGGTGAGTGAGTGGTGAGTGAGTGGTGAGTGAGTGGTGAGTGACACTCACGGGTACCCTCCATGCACGTGTTAGTGAGTGAGTGGTGAGTGAGTGGTGAGTGAGTGAGTGGTGAGTGAGTGGTGAGTGAGTGGTGAGTGAGTGGTGAGCGACACTCACGGGTACCCTCCATGCACGTGTTAGTGAGTGAGTGGTGAGTGAGTGGTGAGCGAGTGGTGAGTGAGTGGTGAGCGACACTCACGGGTACCCTCCATGCACGTGTTAGTGAGTGAGTGGTGAGTGAGTGGTGAGTGAGTGGTGAGCGACACTCACGGGTACCCTCCATGCACGTGTTAGTGAGTGAGTGGTGAGTGAGTGGTGAGCGAGTGGTGAGTGAGTGGTGAGCGACACTCACGGGTACCCTCCATGCACGTGTTAGTGAGTGGTGAGCGAGTGGTGAGTGAGTGGTGAGCGACACTCACGGGTACCCTCCATGCACGTGTTAGTGAGTAAGTGGTGAGTAAGTGGTGAGTGAGTGGTGAGTGACACTCACGGGTACCCTCCATGCACGTGTTAGTGAGTAAGTGGTGAGTAAGTGGTGAGTGAGTGGTGAGTGAGTGAGTGGTGAGTGAGTGGTGAGCGACACTCACGGGTACCCTCCATGCACGTGTTAGTGAATGGTGAGCGAGTGGTGAGTGAGTGAGTGAGTGGTGAGTGAGTGAGTGGGTGAGTGAGTGAGTGAGTGGTGAGTGAGTGGTGAGTAAGTGGTGAGTGACACTCACGGGTACCCTCCATGCACGTGTTAGTGAGTAAGTGGTGAGTAAGTGGTGAGTGAGTGGTGAGTGAGTGAGTGAGTGGTGAGTGAGTGGTGAGCGACACTCACGGGTACCCTCCATGCACGTGTTAGTGAATGGTGAGCGAGTGGTGAGTGAGTGAGTGAGTGGTGAGTGAGTGAGTGGGTGAGTGAGTGGGTGAGTGAGTGAGTGAATGGTGAGCGAGTGGTGAGTGAGTGGTGAGTGACACTCACGGGTACCCTCCATGCACGTGTGCGTGGAGCTGGGCAGCTCCAGGAGCCGTGCCGCTCGCCGTCCGCCCTCCGGCCAGGGCACCGACAGCACCGACACCTGCGCAGGCAAAGGTCCCCCGGGTAGCCTCTAGCACCCAGTCGGGGCAAGGGCCGCTCGCGAGCGTCGCCTACCAGCGCGGCGGACGACGCTGCTGGTGGCCGGGCCAGAGGAGCAAAAAGGAGCACTCACGAGAGGAGGGAGTGCTCACGAGTGAGGCAAAGTGCTCACGAGTGAGGCAAAGTGCTCACGAGTGAGGCAAAGTGCTCACGAGTGAGGCAAAGTGCTCACGAGTGAGGCAAAGTGCTCACGAGTGAGGCAAAGTGCTCACGAGTGAGGCAAAGTGCTCACGAGTGAGGCAAAGTGCTCACGAGTGAGGCAAAGTGCTCGCGAGTGAGGCAAAGTGCTCGCGAGTGAGGCAAAGTGCTCGCGAGTGAGGCAAAGTGCTCACGAGTGAGGCAAAGTGCTCACGAGTGAGGCAAAGTGCTCACGAGTGAGGCAAAGTGCTCACGAGTGAGGCAAAGTGCTCACGAGTGAAGCAAAGTGCTCACGAGTGAGACAAAGTGCTCACGAGTGAAGCAAAGTGCTCACGAGTGAGGCAAAGTGCTCACGAGTGAGACAAAGTGCTCACGAGTGAGGCAAAGTGCTCACGAGTGAGGCAAAGTGCTCACGAGTGAGACAAAGTGCTCGTGAGTGAGGCAAAGTGCTCACGAGTGAGGAAAAGTGCTCACGAGTGAGGCAAAGTGCTCACGAGTGAGGCAAAGTGCTCACGAGTGAGGCAAAGTGCTCACGAGTGAAGCAAAGTGCTCACGAGTGAGGCAAAGTGCTCACGAGTGAGGCAAAGTGCTCACGAGTGAGACAAAGCACTCACGAGAGGAGGGAGTGCTCACGAGTGAAGCAAAGTGCTCACGAGTGAGGCAAAGTGCTCACGAGTGAGGCAAAGTGCTCACAAGTGAAGCAAAGTGCTCACGAGTGAAGGAAAGTGCTCACGAGTGAGGCAAAGTGCTCACAAGTGAAGCAAAGTGCTCACGAGTGAGGCAAAGTGCTCACGAGTGAGGCAAAGTGCTCACAAGTGAAGCAAAGTGCTCACGAGTGAGACAAAGTGCTCACGAGTGAAGGAAAGTGCTCACGAGAGAAGGGAGTAAAGTGCTCACGAGTGATGCAAAGTGCTCACGAGTGAGGCAAAGTGCTCACGAGTGAGGCAAAGTGCTCACGAGTGAGGCAAAGTGCTCACGAGTGAGGCAAAGTGCTCGTAAGTGATGCAAAGTGCTCACGAGTGAGGCAAAGTGCTCACGAGTGAGGCAAAGTGCTCGTAAGTGATGCAAAGTGCTCACGAGTGAGGCAAAGTGCTCACGAGTGAGACAAAGTGCTCACGAGTGAGACAAAGTGCTCATGAGTGAGGCAAAGTGCTCACGAGTGAGACAAAGTGCTCACGAGTGAGGCGAAGTGCTCACGAGTGAGACAAAGTGCTCACGAGTGAGACAAAGTGCTCACGAGTGAGGCAAAGTGCTCACGAGTGAAACAAAGTGCTCACGAGTGAAGGAAAGTGCTCACGAGAGAAGGGAGTAAAGTGCTCACGAGTGATGCAAAGTGCTCACGAGTGAGGCAAAGCGCTCACGAGTGAGGCAAAGTGCTCACGAGTGAGACAAAGTGCTCACGAGTGAGACAAAGTGCTCCCACCTGCTGCGAGTCTGCGGGGAGCAGCGAGCGGTCCGTGATGAGCACGGCCCTCGACACGGCCCTTCACGCGGCCACGCGGAGAGAAGACGTCGTGAACGTCGTCATCGTGAGCACCGTCTTCATCATCATCGTCAACATCATCATCGTCAACATCATCATTGTCATCATCGTGAACACCGTCTTCATCATCATCATCGTCAACATCATCATTGTCGTCATTGTGAACACCATCTTCATCATCGTCAACATCATCATTGTCATCGTGAACACCGTCTTCATCATCATCGTCAACATCATCGTTGTCGTCATCGTGAACACCGTCTTCATCATCGTCAACATCATCATCATCAACATCATCATTGTCGTCATCGTGAGCACCGTCTTAATAACCGTCAACATCATCATTGTCATCATCATGAACACCGTCTTAATAACCGTCAACATCATCATTGTCATCATCGTGAACACCGTCTTCATCAATGTCAACATCATCATTGTGATGGGGGTGGTGGTGGTGGTGGTGGGGGTGGTGGGGGTGGCCACAGCTGACGACGATGACAGTGACGACGATGACAGTGACGACGATGACAGTGACGACGATGACAGTGACGACGATGACAGTGACGACGATGACAGTGACGACGATGACAGTGACGACGATGACAGTGACGACGATGACAGTGACGACGATGACAGTGACGACGATGACAGTGACGACGATGACAGTGACGACGATGACAGTGACGACGATGACAGTGACGACGATGACAGTGACGACGATGACAGTGACGACGATGACAGTGACGACGATGACAGTGACGACGATGACAGTGACGACGATGACAGTGACGACGATGACAGTGACGACGATGACAGTGACGACGATGACAGTGACGACGATGACAGTGACGACGATGACAGTGACGACGATGACAGTGACGACGATGACAGTGACGACGATGACAGTGACGACGATGACAGTGACGACGATGACAGTGACGACGATGACAGTGACGACGATGACAGTGACGACGATGACAGTGACGACGATGACAGTGACGACGATGACAGTGACGACGATGACAGTGACGACGATGACAGTGACGACGATGACAGTGACGACGATGACAGTGACGACGATGACAGTGACGACGATGACAGTGACGACGATGACAGTGACGACGATGACAGTGACGACGATGACAGTGACGACGATGACAGTGACGACGATGACAGTGACGACGATGACAGTGACGACGATGACAGTGACGACGATGACAGTGACGACGATGACAGTGACGACGATGACAGTGACGACGATGACAGTGACGACGATGACAGTGACGACGATGACAGTGACGACGATGACAGTGACGACGATGACAGTGACGACGATGACAGTGACGACGATGACAGTGACGACGATGACAGTGACGACGATGACAGTGACGACGATGACAGTGACGACGATGACAGTGACGACGATGACAGTGACGACGATGACAGTGACGACGATGACAGTGACGACGATGACAGTGACGACGATGACAGTGACGACGATGACAGTGACGACGATGACAGTGACGACGATGACAGTGACGACGATGACAGTGACGACGATGACAGTGACGACGATGACAGTGACGACGATGACAGTGACGACGATGACAGTGACGACGATGACAGTGACGACGATGACAGTGACGACGATGACAGTGACGACGATGACAGTGACGACGATGACAGTGACGACGATGACAGTGACGACGATGACAGTGACGACGATGACAGTGACGACGATGACAGTGACGACGATGACAGTGACGACGATGACAGTGACGACGATGACAGTGACGACGATGACAGTGACGACGATGACAGTGACGACGATGACAGTGACGACGATGACAGTGACGACGATGACAGTGACGACGATGACAGTGACGACGATGACAGTGACGACGATGACAGTGACGACGATGACAGTGACGACGATGACAGTGACGACGATGACAGTGACGACGATGACAGTGACGACGATGACAGTGACGATGATGACAGTGACGACGATGACAGTGACGACGATGACAGTGACGATGATGACGATGACGACAACGATGACGACAACGATGACGACGATGATTATGACGTTGACGACGATGATGACGACGATGACATTGCCGCCGCCGCCGCCGCCGGCGACAATGACGACAACGATGACGGTGACGACGCGTCAGCGGCGGCGGTATGGTGGTGGGGGTGGTGGTGGTGGTGGTGGGGGGTGGTGGTGGGGGTGGGGGTGGTGGTGCGGGTGGGGGTGGTGGTGGTGGGGGGTGGTGGTGGGGGGGTGGGGGTGGTGGTGGGGTGGGTGGTGGTGGTGGTGGTGGGGGGGGGTGGTGGTGCTGTTTGTTCGGTACCGGTGGCCGTGAGCGGGCCGGAGAGACGTGGGCAGGAAGCTGCGGCTCATCACCACCGCGTCACAGGCAATCCTCTTGCCCGTGCAGTCCACCACAGCCGTGCACCTTCGACCAAACAGAACTACGGTCGATCATCGATTATTAGTACAGTCCATCGTCCATTATCGATTAGAAGTACAGCCGATCATCGATTATCGCAGCAGCAGCCAAAAACACTCGGAAACGCGTGGTGACGTCGATGGGAAATGTGGAGGGGGAAAAAACCGGAGGACCTGGAGAAAAATCCACGCGGCCACGGAGAGAGACACAAACTACAAATATACAGCAGGTGTCAGGGTCGGAACTAAACCCACGACCTCCTGTATACCAGGCGAGGTAGTTAACATCTCCTAGCCACCGTGATGATGATGAGAGAGACACACAAACTCCAAATGTACAGCAGGCATCGTCAGGGTCGAGATTGAACCCATGACCTCCTGTATACCAGGCGAGGTAGTTAACATCTCCTAGCCACCGTGATGATGATGAGAGAGACACACAAACTCCAAATATACAGCAGGCATCGTCAGGGTCGAGATTGAACCCATGACCTCCTGTGTACCAGGCGAGGTAGTTAACATCTCCTAGCCACCGTGATTATGATGAGAGAGAGAGACACACAAACTCCAAATATACAGCAACAGGCGTCACGGTCGGGATTGAACCCACGACCTCCTGTGTACCAGGCGAGGTAGTTAACATCTCCTAGCCACCAGGAGGAAGCGGGGGAGAGGGGAGGGGGCGAGAGAGCGCAAGGCACGATGATGGGAACTCCGGCCCACCACCCATCCGAAAGCGATCCACCAACCCCCACCCCCCCGAGCAGGGATATCCGTTTGTGCCGTAGCTCGGCGGATACGAGCATGTGCCCGTCACGTGCCGAGTGGGCTGCTGGGCGTGCAAATGAGTGGTCTGGTGAGCGAATGGGTTATTGGTTGGTTGAGTGAGTGGTTGGTCGGGTGAGTGAGTGGTTGGATATTTGGGTGAGTGAGTGGTTGGATATCTGGGTGAGTGAGTGGTTGGATATTTGGGTGAGTGAGTGGTTGGATATTTGGGTGAGTGGTTGGATATTTGGGTGAGTGAGTGGTTGGATATTTGGGTGAGTCAGCGGTTGGATATTTGGGTGAGTGAGCGGTTGGATATTTGGGTGAGTGAGTGGTTGGATATTTGGGTGAGTGAGTGGTTGGATATTTGGGTGAGTGAGTGGTTGGATATTTGGGTGAGTGAGTGGTTGGATATGTGGGTGAGTGAGTGGTTGGATATTTGGGTGAGTGAGTGGTTGGATATTTGGGTGAGTGAGTGGTTGGATATTTGGGTGAGTGAGTGGTTGGATATTTGGGTGAGTGAGTGGTTGGATATTTGGGTGAGTGAGTGGTTGGATATTTGGATGAGTGAGTGGTTGGATATCTGGGTGAGTGAGTGGTTGGATATTTGGGTGAGTGAGTGGTTGGATATTTGGGTGAGTGGTTGGATATTTGGGTGAGTGAGTGGTTGGATATCTGGGTGAGTGAGTGGTTGGATATTTGGGTGAGTGAGTGGTTGGATATTTGGGTGAGTGGTTGGATATTTGGGTGAGTGAGTGGTTGGATATTTGGGTGAGTCAGCGGTTGGATATTTGGGTGAGTGAGCGGTTGGATATTTGGGTGAGTGAGTGGTTGGATATTTGGGTGAGTGAGTGGTTGGATATTTGGGTGAGTGAGTGGTTGGATATTTGGGTGAGTGAGTGGTTGGATATTTGGGTGAGTGAGTGGTTGGATATTTGGGTGAGTGAGTGGTTGGATATTTGGGTGAGTGAGTGGTTGGATATTTGGGTGAGTGAGTGGTTGGATATTTGGGTGAGTGAGTGGTTGGATATTTGGGTGAGTGAGTGGTTGGATATTTGGATGAGTGAGTGGTTGGATATTTGGGTGAGTGGTTGGATATTTGGGTGAGTGAGTGGTTGGATATTTGGATGAGTCAGCGGTTGGATATTTGGGTGAGTGAGCGGTTGGATATTTGGGTGAGTGAGCGGTTGGATATTTGGGTGAGTGAGTGGTTGGATATTTGGGTGAGTGAGCGGTTGGATATTTGGGTGAGTGTGTGGTTGGATATTTGGGTGAGTGAGTGGTTGGATATTTGGGTGAGTGAGTGGTTGGATATTTGGGTGAGTGGTTGGATATTTGGATGAGTGAGTGGTTGGATATTTGGGTGAGTGGGTGGTTGGATATTTGGGTGAGTGAGTGGTTGGATATTTGGGTGAGTGAGTGGTTGGATATTTGGGTGAGTGAGTGGTTGGATATTTGGGTGAGTGAGTGGTTGGATATTTGGGTGAGTGAGTGGTTGGATATTTGGGTGAGTGGTTGGATATTTGGGTGAGTGGTTGGATATTTGGGTGAGTGGTTGGATATTTGGGTGAGTGAGTGGTTGGATATTTGGGTGAGTGAGCGGTTGGATATTTGGGTGAGTGAGTGGTTGGATATTTGGGTGAGTGGTGGGATATTTGGGTGAGTGAGTGGTTGGATATTTGGGTGAGTGGTTGGATATTTGGATGAGTGAGTGGTTGGATATTTGGGTGAGTGAGTGGTTGGATATTTGGATGAGTGAGTGGTTGAATATTTGGGTGAGTGAGTGAGTGGTTGGATATTTGGGTGAGTGAGTGGTGTGATATTTGAGTGAGTGGTTGGACATTTGGGTGAGTGAGTGGTTGGATATTTGGGTGAGTGAGTGGTGTGATATTTGAGTGAGTGGTTGGATATTTGGGTGAGTGAGTGGTGTGATATTTGAGTGAGTGGTTGGATATTTGGGTGAGTGAGTGGTTGGATATTTGGATGAGTGAGTGGTTGGATATTTGGGTGAGTGAGTGGTTGGATATTTGGATGAGTGAGTGGTTGGATATTTGGGTGAGTGGTTGGATATTTGGGTGAGTGAGTGGTGTGATATTTGAGTGAGTGGTTGGACATTTGGGTGAGTGAGTGGTTGGATATTTGGGTGAGTGAGTGGTGTGATATTTGAGTGAGTGGTTGGATATTTGGGTGAGTGAGTGGTTGGATATTTGGATGAGTGAGTGGTTGGATATTTGGGTGAGTGGTTGGATATTTGGATGAGTGAGTGGTTGGATATTTGGGTGAGTGAGTGGTTGGATATTTGGGTGAGTGAGTGGTGTGATATTTGAGTGAGTGGTTGGACATTTGGGTGAGTGAGTGGTTGGATATTTGGGTGAGTGAGTGGTGTGATATTTGAGTGAGTGGTTGGATATTTGGGTGAGTGAGTGGTGTGATATTTGAGTGAGTGGTTGGATATTTGGGCGAGTGGTTGGGTGAATGGGTTATTGGTAGGGCAAGTGAATAAATGAGTGGTTGTTTGTGTGAATGAGTGGTTGTTTGTGTGAATGAGTGGTTGGACGGTTGAGTGAACGAGTATTTGGGTGAATGAGTATTTGGGTGAATGAGTAGTTGGGTGAATGAGTTGTTGGATGAATGAGTGGTTGGTTGGGTGAATGAGTGGTTGGGTGATTGAGTTGTTGTTTGGGTGAATGAGTGGTTGGTTGGGTTGGTTGCTCGACTAGTGTATGTGTAACTTGGTGAATGAATAGTTGGGTGGGTGGGTGGTTGATTGAGCGAACAAGAATGGCTGAGCGAGTGGCTGGGTGAGCAAGCGGCTGGGTGAGCGAGCAAGTGAGATCGTGGTTTGGTGAGCATGTGAGCAAGTGAGACAGTGGTTTGATGAGCGAGTGAGACAGTGGTTTGTGAGTGAGTGAGCGAGTGAGTGAGCGAGTGAGATGGTTTGGTGAGTGAGTGAGTGAGCGAGCGAGTGAGTGAGTGAGACAGTGGTTTGGTGAGTGAGTGAGTGAGCGAGTGAGATGGTTTGGTGAGTGAGTGAGCGAGCGAGCGAGCGAGTGAGTGAGCGAGCGAGACAGTGATTTGGTGAGTGAGCGAGTGAGTGAGCAAGTGAGATAGTGGTTTGGTGAGCGAGTGAGTGAGCCAGTGAGTGAGCAAGTGAGTGAGTGAGCGAGTGAGATAGTGGTTTGGTGAGTGAGCGAGTGAGCGAGTGAGCGAGCGAGACAGTGGTTTGGTGAGCGAGTGAGTGGGACGTCGAGCGAGCCCTCCGCCGAGTCCACCTTACCGACCGGAGGAAGAGTCCACCACGAGGTGCTTCAGCGAGTGAGTGAGCGAGTGAGACAGTGGTTTGGTGAGTGAGTGAGACAGTGGATTGGTGAGCGAGTGAGCGAGTGAGCGAGCGAGACAGTGGTTTGGTGAGCGAGTGAGTGGGACGTCGAGCGAGCCCTCCGCCGAGTCCACCTTACCGACCGGAGGAAGAGTCCACCACGAGGTGCTTCAGCGAGTGAGTGAGCGAGTGAGCGAGTGAGCGAGCGAGTGAGACAGTGGTTTGGTGAGCGAGTGAGTGGGACGTCGAGCGAGCCCTCCGCCGAGTCCACCTTACCGACCGGTTGAAGAGTCCACCACGAGGTGCTTCAGCGAGTGCCTCAGGCAGTAGGTCCCGGCAAACACCGCACTCATCCTGACACAGGACAAAGACAAAGATCCCCCACACAGCCTCAAAACAACACTAGGGGCAAGTGCCGGTGGCGCCTTATGGAGTCCGCCACGGCACTCGAGCTCGGGGTGGGTGGCTGGGACAGCGCCGCCTTTGTCTCCCCCAGTGGCGGTGTTCACTGCACGCCGCACCACGTCGTCATTTGAGGCCGAGTCGACCTAGGGGAGGACCAGGACCGGTTCGGATAATCGTCACCGGCGTTGGCGACAGTGAGCGGGGAATCGAACTCGGTGCCGGTGTGTCTGTGTGTCACTGTGTGTGTGTGTCAGTGTGTGTCTATCAGTGTGTCTGTGTCTCAGTGTGTGTGTCTGTGTGTGTCTATCAGTGTGTCTGTGTGTCAGTGTGTGTCTATCAGTGTGTCTGTTGTCAGTGTCTCAGTGTGTGTGTGTCTGTGTGTCAGTGTGTGTCTGTGTGTGTCTATCAGTGTGTCTGTGTGTCAGTGTGTGTGTGTCAGTGTGTGTCTATCAGTGTGTCTGTGTCTCAGTGGGTGTGTGTCTGTGTGTCAGTGCGTCTGTGTGTCAGGGTTTGTCTATCAGTGTGTCTGTGTGTCAGTGTCTATCAGTGTGTGTGTGTGTCTGTGTGTGTGTATCTCAGTGTGTCTGTGTGTGTCTGTAAGTGTGTCAGTGTGTGTGTCAGTGTCTCAGTGTCTGTGTGTGTCTGTGTGTCTGTGTCTCAGTGTGTGTCTATCAGTGTGTCAGTGTGTGTGTCAGTGTCTCAGTGTGTGTGTGTCAGTGTGTGTGTGTGTGTCAGTGTGTCTATCAGTGTGTCTGTGTCTCAGTGTGTGTGTGTCTGTGTGTCAGTGTGTCAGTGTGTGTATCAGTGCGTCTGTGTGTCAGTGTGTGTCTATCAGTGTGTCTGTGTGTCAGTGTCTATCAGTGTGTGTGTGTGTGTGTCTGTGTGTCTATCAGTGTGTCTGTGTGTCAGTGTGTGTGTGTGTCTGTGTGTGTGTATCTCAGTGTGTCTGTGTGTGTCTGTAAGCGTGTCAGTGTGTGTGTCAGTGTCTCAGTGTGTCTGTGTGTGTGTCTGTGTATCTGTGCGTCTGTGTGTCTGTGCGTCTGTGTGTCAGTGTGTGTCTATCAGTGTGTCTGTGTCTCAGTGTGTGTGTGTCTGTGTCTGTGTGTCAGTGTGTGTCTATCACTGTGTAAGTGTGTGTGTCAGTGTCTCAGTGTGTGTGTGTCTGTGTGTCAGTGTGTGTCTGTGGGTGTCTATCAGTGTGTCTGTGTGTCAGTGTGTGTGTGTGTCAGTGTGTGTCTATCAGTGTCTGTGTCTCAGTGTGTGTGTGTCTGTGTGTCAGTGTGTCAGTGTGTGTGTCAGTGCGTCTGTGTGTCAGTGTGTGTCTATCAGTGTGTCTGTGTGTCAGTGTCTATCAGTGTGTGTGTGTGTCTGTGTGTGTCTATCAGTGTGTCTGTGTGTCAGTGGGTGTGTGTCTGTGTGTGTCTGTGTGTGTCTCCGCCAATTGGCGGAGCCAGGAGATTGAATACCTACCCTCGGGGCTACTCCAGAAACAACGAAAAGCCACTACGGGTGGCCACGTGGAATGTTCGAACGCTCACTGCAGAGGAGAGGCTGCCACTCCTCTGTCGGGAGCTGGACCGGTACCGCCTGGATCTATGCGGCATTCAGGAGGTCCGGTGGACCGGCTCTGGCTCCTGCCACCATGAGGGGTGGACAGTCCTCTACTCGGGGCAGCAGACTGCCAAACAACAGGGTGTGGGTCTTCTTTTGAACAAAAGAATGAAGGGGGCGTGGGAGCGTGGCGGTGAGGTGTGGGAAGCTGTAAGCCCCAGGCTACTTTGGGCTCGCCTTCCCATCAACCGGAGGCGAGGAATGGTGGTCGTGGTTACTTATGCCCCCACCGAAGATGAACATCCGTGGAGGGATGCAGGCAAAGCCGATGAGTCAGATGCCTTCTATGACCTCCTGTCACAGGTGCTGGCTAAAGTGGCCCCTCGGGATAGAGTCATCATGTTGGGTGACTTCAATGCCCGAGTTGGTCATGATACTGGCACCTGGTCTGGAGTGATTGGAGGGCATGGGCCAGATCAGCTCAATAACAACGGTAGGAGGCTGCTAGATTTTTGTGCAGCCCATGGGCTTGTAATTACCAACACGCTGTTCCGGCATCGGCGCATCCACACAACATCATGGATGCATGCCGGGTCCAAGCAAGAACATCTGCTGGACTACATAGTGACGGACCAGCGAATGCGAGCCCATGTCCTTGACACCAGGACCTACCGTGGAGCTGATCTGCCCTCTGACCATCGACTAGTCATCTGTAAGATGCGCCTGCCATTCTTCCACTCCGGTGGTGGGTGTACACCCAGGACCCCATTCCAACCTAAAGTGGCCTGGTCTCAGTTATCTGATGAAAGTTGCAAGCGAGAATTTCATCATCGCTTGCGGCTGGGATTGGCATCGTCCCCGACTCCTCCTGATGTCGAGGGTAAATGGGCGAAGTTTAGGACTGTGACTCATGCAGCTGCAATGGCTGCTTTGGGTACGCGGTCCAGAACTCCCCAGACACCCTGGATGACAGAGGAGTTGTTCAGGATGGTTGAGAAAAAGCGACAGGCCCACTGTCATCGGCTACAGAATCCCACGTCAGAGAATGAGGAGGCTTACCGCAGCCTTCGCTCGGAGGTTCGGAGAGCCGTGAGGCGCTGCAAGGATGGGTGGTGGTCGCGGGTTGCTGAGGAGATGGAGTCTGCCTCAGTGGCCCGTGATCACAAATCGCTATTTAACTCCATCAAAAAAGTAACCTGCAGCGCCACACCTATTACCATCATTAGGGGAAAAAACGGTGATCCAATTTCCGACCCCCAGGAACAGGTTCGCAGATTTGCTGAGCATTTCTGTGAGGTCCTGGGGGAGGGAAAATCCCTCAGCCAGGAAAACATCGTGGCACAAAGTGAGGATGACCCTGCTGAGGCTGCGGTGCCTCAAATATTGGATGAAGTCACCCCCTGTGAGTGGCTGGCTGAGGTGCCATCTGCTGAGGAAGTATTGAAGGCGATCCGGAGTCTGAGACCAGGAAAGGCAGCGGGCAGAGATGATCTCCCAAGCGAAATGCTGAGGGAGGGTGGCGTTTGTGCACAGACTGCCCTATATGACATCATAACAACAGTCTGGACCACTGGACGGGTTCCGCAGGATTGGAAGGATGCCCTGGTGGTCCCCCTTTTTAAGAAGGGGGACCGCACAGACTGTAACAACTACAGGGGCATCTCACTCCTCAGTGTGCCGGGAAAGGTCCTGGCAAGGATTATTCAGCATCGCCTTGCCAGGCACGCTGAGGAGAGGCTTGCGGAGCCCCAATGCGGTTTCAGGAAAGGGCGGTCCTGCACAGATGCCATATTTTCTGTCCGTCTCCTACAGCAGAGGTGTAGGGAATTCCAACAAGACCTACATCTCTGCTTTATTGACCTGGTCAAGGCCTATGATACCATCAGTAGGCCTGGGCTCTGGGTCGTTCTTCGTGCTTTTGGAGTACCTGACCCTCTGCTCACGATCATTAAGGACCTTCATGATGGTGAGCGGGCCCGGGTAAAACTACGTGGCCGGGAGTCAGAGCCATTCCCTGTACACCTTGGGGTGCGACAGGGATGTCCTCTGGCTCCCACATTATTTAACATCTATTTTGACCACGTAGTTCGTGAAGCCTTCAATTGCTGTACCGGGGGAATCTCCATATGGTACAGATATAATGGGAGGCTAATCGATGCCCGGGTGCGGTCAAGGGATGGCTCCCTATTGCTCAACCACGTTATGTATGCTGATGACTTGGTAATAGCTGCTCAGTCAGAGGAGGAGTTGGAGACGCTGCTGCTGAGACTGGAGCGTGCCACTAAGAGGTGGGGCCTTACCATCAGCCCCACCAAAACTAAGCACCTGCCTGGGTGTTTTGTACCATCGGACACTCCACCCCCACAACTCCCAATCGGTGATGGGGCAGTTGTGGAGAGAGTGGAGAGTTTCCCATACCTGGGCAGTGTGCTTATGACTGGCTCCAGTTTAACAGCAGAGGTCTCACTCCGAATCAGTCGAGCGGCAATATCTTTTCATCGGTTGCGTAACGCTGTGTGGAAGCTACCTGGTCTGTCGCTCCGCACTAAGCTTCAGGTCTTCTCGGCCACGGTCATTCCCTCCCTTCTCTACGCTTGCGAAACGTGGACCCCCCTAATGGAACATCTTCGCCGGTTAGAAACATTTAGGCTGACCTGCCTACGATCCATCCTGGGTTTAACCAGACTGGATTGTGTGAGGAGCTCACAAATCCTTGAAAGATCTGGGCAGGGTCCCATCGGTGAGCTCCTCCGGCAGGCAAGGCTGCGATGGCTGGGTCATGTAGCCCGCATGCCCAGCCACCGCATGCCGAAACAGCTTTTGTTTGGCCGGATTGAGGGGGCTAAGCGGGCGCGGCACGGGCTAGAGAAGAGATGGAGTGATGTGGTACAGGAGGACGTGGAGCTGAGTGGACTTGCCGATGACTGGTACCAGCGGTGTCAAGATCGGCCTCTGTGGAGGAGGCTCGTGAAGGATGCTACTGGGCAGTTGGAGGCAGTCGCCCTCCAACAACAACGGAGGGCGGAGGAGCGACGCTCACAACAGCGAGCGGAGCGCCGGGTGGCTAAAGCACAGCAGGTTGGCACAGTAGGGGGCACAGGTGGTGCATCAGCCAGTCATCTCAGTCAGTCGACCCGTGGCACCTGGGTCTGCCCCGTGACCTCCTGCCAGCGGGCGTTCGACACTTCACGTGGCCTCAGGGTGCACATAGCCTGGCACAAGCGTCGTGGTGACGTCACCGCCACTTAGTGGCGAATGGCGGTTGTTGTTGTTGTTGTCTGTGTGTATCTCAGTGTGTGTGTGTCTGTGTGTGTCTAAGTGTGTCAGTGTGTGTGTCAGTGTCTCAGTGTGTCTGTATGTGTGTCTGTGTGTCTGTGCGTCTGTGTGTCTGTGCATCT